ACACTTTTTTCGATTAATTGCCAAACACTCCGCAAAATATGTGTCCAAGAAGTGACCTGCAGAAAATTTTTTTCTGTTACTCTCCTAGGACAAAATTTTCTAAAAATTCCATCTCTTTATCAAAAGATCATAACCGTTTTCCTCCCCCCATTTAAACCAGTCTTTATTCGGCAAAGTAATTAGTTTTAAATTATCCCTCTTCCGTTTATTCGGAGAAAAAAACAGCGGAAAACATCAATCAAAACAAATACATATTGTCGCTGTGGCCCTCAAATAAGGCGAAGCTTCCAAAACATGCATACATAGCTAAAAACGACAAAACCGATTGCCGCAGTAGGCTGCCCACTCTACCAACCATAGAACAGCAAAAAACCAAAACAACACAAAACTGAAATGAACCCACTATGATGACGGCGAAAATTGATCTCTATGGACAACCCCCGTCAAAAAATCACCCCGCGGATAAAATTCGCGCCTTTTTTTTTACGGCTGTTGCAACGAAAAATTCAAACTGCAAACGAATTTCGAATGAATCTTGACGCCTATCGAGCAAAGAAGTAAAGCCAAGAAGTACAGGGCTATTAGTTGGCTGCATACGTCACATATCGCTTCGAAGAGTTTAGCTGGGTTATACAGATAAAGCTACCTGTTGATTGGGGTCAGTAATTGTTCTTAAAGCATCTTTTTCGAGGCGCTAGGGAATGGAAGACGATTGCGGCTTGCAATTGCAAAGCAGGTGAGCATGTATTGTATAAAAGCTGGTAGACAGTTACCGATCTGGCACTTGCGGAATAAAACAGCACTAGAAACAAACTGACATGTTAGCATATTTAGCAGCTCAGTACAATGAAAACAGGTCAATCTTTTTGGTGTAGGTGGAGTCAAGTCCTCTGAGGTCATACCGATGGAGGTGTTATTCCAGAAAACGACTTTTGTTCAGGGTGCGATAGGGCAAAACAATTGTCAGTAAAAGGTGACAAGTTGAACTTTTGAACTTTTTGACTTCCTGTAATATACTACAGGCTATCAAAAGATTTAAAGCAGGAAGGATGCGTTTGAATTTGCTCTTAGCTTGGCAGCTGTCGCGTAGCCTACCGATTAGTTCAGTAAAGGCGAAAAGGACTAGTTATTTTGAAGTCGT